ACGAAGACGGTGTAAATCGCTGGGAGAGGGAATCTTTATTCGGGAAGGGGGAGGGGGGGAAGAGGAGATAAGGGAAGGATGAAGGGGGGGGAGAGGAGGGAGAGGGGAGAGGAGAGGAGGATCTGTGTGAATGTGAGTTTGAGTCAGCTTAATGCTTTCTTGCAAATGTGTTCATCTCTCTCTCTCTCTTTCTCTGTTTCTCTCTCCTCTCTCTCTCTCTCTCTCTCTGTTTCTCCCTCCTCTCTCTCTGTTTCTCCCTCCCCTTCTCTCTCTCTGTTCTACCTCCTCCCTCCCCCCCCCTTCCTCTGTTTCCCCCTCCCTCCCTCCTCCCTCTCTCTGTTTCTTCCCCCCTCTCCCTCTCCCTCTCCCTCCCCTTCTCTCCATAATTCTTTCCTTTCATCCTAAACTTTGGACTCGTAGCGAAACAAAATTATTATAAAAAAAAAGAAAATCAAGCAAAAATATTTCTACAAAATTTGCATAGAATACATTAAGCTGTATTTGAAAAGAAATGCCAGACGACGTGAGAAAGAAGCGAAATGAAGCCAAAAAAAAAAAAAAAAAAGTATCCAAAAGTTAATACTTAATCACATCTCGAGAAGCAAGAAGTTTCCAGCATCGACATGCGGCCAAAATAGAAAACGTAATTCGACCTCACTTAAGAACAGAAAATTAAGTCATATAAATGCTACGTAGTGTATTAGCCCTTGCACGCGCCTTCATGTGGACGAGTGCCTGTGTCTGTGCGTGCGTGGGTATGTGTGTGAGAAGGGAGGGGAGGGGAGGGAGAGATAGACAGATAGATAGATAAATAGAGAGAGAGAGACATGAAAAAGAGAGAGAGAGAGGGGGAAGACAAAAAATTTAAATCCATCGCCATCCTAAAACTGATATCACTAAAATTATAAAGCCTTTTCCCTCTGGACTTTCAAGTTAAATATTGGAGGAGGAGGTGGAAGAGGAGATATGATAAAGAGACGAGAGAGGGGAAAATGACACTTGCTTCGTACATTGAATATTCGGGAGAACAGAAAAAAAAATCCCTAGGATGGAAGTCGGTAGAATAAAGACCACCTTTAGGCATCTCCTATGCTTCAATTTTCCCTCAATTTCTATTTCCTTCCTTCGCTTCTCTCATCCTCCTCCTCCTCCTCTCCCGAGTCCACTTTTCCTGACGTTCCTTTTGTCCACCACCTCGCTTCCCTCTTACATCTTCTGAAATAGATTCACCTCTGTACCCTGAAGGCCACTGATAGCCTCTGATTGGCGTGTGTGCTTTGTGATCAGCTGGCCTCGTGTGGGATGATCACACAAACGCCTCTCCTGATTGGTGGACTAGATTAGAGGGAAATGCAGAAAACGTCGATGTGATTGGCGGCGGCGAGCGGGCGGATCCTGCTAATTCGTGATTGGCTGACGAGGCCGCTGACCGTTGGAAAAGTGTATGCACGCGGTGATTGGTGGATTTGAATTCTGGTGGGCGATACGAATGATGGTAGTTAATTTAGTTTTTTTTCGGTCAGCGAGGAAAGGAACGGCCGCATATGTCCTGTGACGCCAACGCTAAACTCGACAAAATGATTGATCGTAAACTCGATTTACGTAACCAGTGTACACGGCTTTTGTCTATCATCAAATAAAGGGTTTTGATCAGATAGAGGGAGGGTGGGTGGGTGGGTAGGAGAGAGTAAGGGAGATGAAAAAGATGGGGACGGCAAAGGATAAAAAGAGAGAGAGAGTGGGGGGAGAGAGGGAGGGAGGGAGGAGAGGGAGGGAGAGGGAGAGGGAGAGGGAGAGGGAGAGGGAGAGGGAGAGGGAGAGGGAGAGGGAGAGAGGGAGAGAGAGAGAGAGAGAGAGAGAGAGAGAGAGAGGAGAGAGAGAGAGAGAGAGAGAGAGAGAGAGAGAGAGAGAGAGAGAGAGAGAGGAGAGAGAGAGAGAGAGAGAGAGAGAAGAGAGAGAGAGAGAGAGAGAGAGAGAGA